TTTCCAGAAGCAACCAATGTAATGCAACAGCTCATTGCGGCCAGAAAGGATTTATTTCTCCCCATCCCCTGCTCCTGACCCTGCCTTTTCTCCTACAGATCTGGTACTGTTGGTCTTCCTCTGCCTGTCCACTCTGAGTCAAACCTGCCGCTTTATTGAGCTGAATTGCCCCACCAAAGGGCGCAACCAGCACCAGAACCAGTGTAAATAAGAAGAGTGGTAATGGGACTACACAGCCAAACAGCGGGAGGAAGAGGGGGATGGCAAGAGCAGCCCAGTCAATGGGGGCGTGGTATTGCAGCAACCCACCATGCCTCAGGAAGCCACACTTTAAATTCCCAGAGAGTAAGAAGAGAGGGTATTTTGCAGAGAAAACTGAAACAATCTGCTGTCTGGCCACACATGCCAACAGCATGGCAACAGTTGTTTAAATGTCTTTTCCTTGTCACTTTTTGAATTTGAGCATTTTCAAGTTTATTTTAAGTAAAAAGAATAACAGCAACAAGGCTTGGGAACGCTGTGAGAAAAACCTAGCAGCTAAACCAGGAAACTACTGAAGAAAAAAAAGATAAAAAATGGCAAGCTAGTTTTGGCAAAGTCCTGGGAAAAGAGGAGGGAGAGCAGTTAAAAATCTAACACACCATTTGCATTTTATTTTTAGACAGGTATAATAAATGTACACAAAAGGACGCATCAGCATTTTTGTTTCATCTTAAGTATACGAAATGGCGCGAAAGACTAAACAAGGCATGAGTGAGGTCAGAAGTGTCAAGACTGGTTCGAAACCTTTCAAAATGTCATGCTAACAGGGTATTAAGGGAAGCTTTCAAAGCCATCACAAATCGGTCTGGATTAATATCAGAGCTAGAATCCACACTACACACAAGTCTGACATGGACTGAGAAACATCATTTTTCTCATGTGTAATATACCCAGGAATTTCAGCTGTGAAGGCTACAGGGTTAGCATGATGCCATTTTCTCTGATTTTGAATGAGTCCATCGACTAAACAAATTATTAGACAGTAAGTGCAAACTGCTGCACTACTTTGTCATGCTAAATTCATTTTTAGAGTCTTAATAAACCTGAAGGAGAGGCAGCAGCATTTGAGATATTAAAAACCAGCCGAGCACCAAGCAACTCCCAAAGTCTTATTCCATAACTGCCCTTTGGTGGATGCCTTTTGGGGAGCAAAAGAAAAAAAAAAAGAAAGAAAAAGAAAAACAAAAAGAAAGAAAATCAGCCTACACTTCAACAAAGTCACAAATGCCAGACACCCTGGATAAGTAAAAAAACTTCATTTCCTCAAGCTACACACAGTTGAGATGTGAGTTCAGACTGACAATTTCAAAGACAAGAACAACATTCTACCCGTTACAGCGTTTATGGGAACGTCCGTCACGCTCCGACATACTGGGGGCTATATATTATCAGGGTACTTTTGAAAAGCAGTCATCCTATACAGCCTTCTTGATGTTGCCAACAGTCCAATAACATACATGTCAAGTGCAGCAGTACACTCCAGGAGTATTTTTAAGTGCCCTCAAAACAAAAGCCTCTTCTACAGCTCTCATCAGCTATGCTAATGAATTCTATTCATCTCCCTCAACACAGGTGTGGGGAAAGGTCACTTCAGAAGACGAGGTTCATTTACAGACCTCACCAAAGGGATCCAGGAATTAGACTTTTTGCAGTGCTTTGAAGGCACAGAAAACGGAGGTTGGAAGTTCTCCCAGGCCAAAATGTGTATCTTACCTTTTTCTATCTTTCTGCAGCACTTGCAGGTGTTCTTATCTGGCCTAATTCTGCTCCTTCTGAAATCAATGAAAACTACTTCCCAGGGATCACCAAAGCCAAAATTAAGTGCCTTGACAAAGCTTTGCACTAAGTGTACAACAACCTCAACTTCGCTCTCAGCCAGATTTAGTTCCCCATCCCCTGTAAGCATAAGACAGTCATTGTAACAACAAGAAAATAAAAGAAAAAAATGAACATATTTTAAATGTATCCAACCTTGCATCCTTTCCTTCTGTAAAGCAATTCAAATTTTGTAAACTAAACGCACATTCTAATTCTGAGATGCTTGTATTTTCAGTATATTAAAAGTATCAAACTGACATGACAATGAAAAGTAAAGTGATCTTGTGTATGACTGCTTATTTACTGTTTTAGAATTCTGGAGAGTCTTACATACAGAAATGGAGAGCATTTAGTTTTTAAACTAAATTCCTTGGCCTAGCAAAGGGAAAGTTGATGATGTTCACATGACTTTTAGGCAGGTACTTCTACAACTTCAAAATAGTCATTGGGCAGAATCACATAGCCTTTTCCTGCCAATACGTCTTTTTCTTTCTGAAACTGAACAATCTCTCTCAGTTTTTCAATTTGTCTTTCCTGACGCCGGCATCGCTGTTGCGCTGTTTTGAGCTTCTTTCGCAGTTTTTCAACTTGCTCTTCCAGCTGCTGAATTCTTTTTCGTTGATGAACTGTATCCTCTACGGTATAGTTGTGATCGCAAAAAACAGCAAGATTGCTAGGGGTCTGGAGAGGAGGCATCAATAATCCAATACTCGGATCTACAAACCTGGCATCTATTTGAGATAAATGAAAAGAAGGAGTTGATGGAGATGGTGGTAGTACTGGAGCTGCTGCTGCTGGTGGTGGTGGTGGTGGCGGCGGCGGCGGTGGCGGTGGAGGAGGCGGTAGTGGATCTTCTGGCTGTTCTGCAAACTCTTCAGGCTAGGAACAACAGGGAAAAAAGGTACATTTTCATGCTTAACATTGTTTGCAACACAACTCCCTTACTACAGTCCCAGAATAACATTAACAACCAGGACTGAAATGAATAAAATAAATTTCAAAGCCTACATTTTCAAAATTGACAAACAGTTCTGGACCTGTTTTGTCTGGCTTCTAAACTGGAGATATTTTCAAGCAGCTTCAGTTTCAGGGCTCTTTGAAACTCAAGTCCTTGATCTCTCAAATAAATCAAAAACCGAAGAACGTAGAAATTACTCTCATTTGAAGGCCTAGGTCAAATACATACCCAAGATTAGCAAAGAAGCAAGAATGCAGGTTGCGGTTCCGTAAAAGAGAGTTCAGCTGATCTAACAACTCATCACTGCCATCCCATTCCCCTTTGTCCCTCCTTCCTCCTACTGCATCTCATACCACTATACACTTTGAACCTATCAGCTAACTTAATCAAAAACACAGAGAAGCGGATAATCCTCTGCTGAGGTAAAATAAGGGTCATCTACTGAGGGGGCTGATAAGCTAGCAGAGAAGAGAGGCAGACACAGCAACGCCTGCCTCTTAACAACCGGAAGGGACTGTGTCACTGGTTTCAGGCTGCAGCAAAAGGGTTTAGTATCAGGAGACATGATGAGTGAAAATAAAACAGCTCTTCAACAAGAAAGCAGCACTCCCAGCCCTAGTATTTACTCTCTGCTCAAATGTACTAAGTTGCTAAGATGACAGCTATTCGCTCTTCCACCATCACTGCAGAAATCTTCTGTCCTTTATTAAAAGTCAAAGCAATGCAACATGAGGTATGAGCTACACCTGCATTGGCATCTGGAAGGAGTGAGAAACAGGACTGCACACCTGGCAGACGGGATGGAGAAGGGAGAAGCACGATCCTCCCTTTTGGCAGCAGCAGAATATGCATTGGCTCAACTCCACACGAAACGCCAGTCTTTACCATACTGCTCGAGAGGTTCTCTTATACGGTTCAGGACAACACGGATCCCTCACCACTCAAGTACAGGCCAGAGCAGAGAATCACATTCTTTCCACCCCAAAGGAACACAGTATAATTCAGAAATGCTTCTGTGCATATCATGATAAAAAAACCTGCTGTTTAAACAAAAGAGCTTGCATATTGCCTGTCAAAAGAAAGCTTAAGACATCCTCAGTGAAAGAGGCACTGAACCCATTTTCTAACTACCCACCTGTTGCCAGTATTATTGTCACACATAAAAGCATAAAGACAAGGACAATGTTGACTATAAGAGCAACTGACAATTCCCATCATCTAAATATCAAGTTCATCACATCTGAAGGTCTTGTCATTAACTTCTTTGACTTAACAAACAAAGAAGCGTAACACTTGATATTGGGAGATATCCGTCCAGATATCCATCTTGTACAAATTACAACGTTTGGCAGACAGTAACTGAGAAGGCAGTTTTGTGATTGATGTTGAAGAGAAGTTTCCTACGTGCTCGAATATTACTGATGAATTTAAAGTACAAAACCAGCCAACTACCACTCTTATTCTAAGAAAACACTGCTAGCAGTTTGCCTAACTCACACATGCATTGGTACGTCAATGTTTGAGGGACAGTGTGCTAGCGAGGGCTTATAGGAGACTACCTTCAGAAGTTCAGACGTAGAACTTAGGGACCAGTCTGGCTTACGAACACAAGGTAACGGTTAAGGCAAGACAGAGATGGCTTCAGCACAGACGGATCGCAGGTGCAGCTCCTGCTCTGCCCCTCTGTTTGCATCTCGCTAACTTGTGAAGCTAGAGGACAGAGCCCTTTAGAGAGGACAGTTATGTTTCAGAACTAAGGTCCATCATTTCTTCAACATCAGCAGTAGCCACCAGTCAGCGTGGGAGAGTATAGTGCAATTTTCAAGTATTATTGAAAGCCCTCTCAAACTCAAAATATGCCACAAATACAGTTCAACAACTTAACTACAGGGCGATCCTTTCTTACTTTGCTGCTGTTCCACTTAATCCAGCAGAAGGTTTTAGCTGGCTACAGGGCTCAGGCTTCTGCGCACGCACAGAAGAGCAGATGATAAGGGCTACTGCATACCTGTACAATGCTCTACATGCTCCAGAGCCTCGCAGCCTACATCAGGAGAACAGCTGTTAGACACATTTCCACCACCACAGCCCTGCAAGGAGCACATGTTCAGCTGGTATCCTTCACACTCTGCATCTTCTCCTGGCTGCTCTGCTACATCAAGCCCTGCTAGGGTAACACAAGCAATATGCATGCATTCTAGTATCTTAAACTATGAGTGCTTTGGCTTTACCTTTTCACTAGGTTCAGTATAACAAAATATTGTGGGCACAGCATTTTCTTTCAGAAGCTTGTTGTTGCATTCCCTTTTAAAGCAATCAGGAGTAAAGTGCTCTGAGCAAATGCTGCTGTACTTGGTAGGCTTGAAGTTTTTCCTTTTAACAGCAGCTTCCCATTTCTTGCAAAGATCAGGTCTTGTAAGAGGAAACCTGTAAATAAGAAGTACTTTCACTTTTCTGGAAAGCTTTTCAACGCAGGGTCGGGTTACAGCTGGGCACTGCTGTGACGGACAGCACGATCCCGTGGGTTTTCGTCTGACGGGCTCAT